TCCTCCTCCTCCTCCTGATCCTCTGCGGCCAAGCCCGCGGCCGCTTCATCTCTGACACCCAAGCCGCGTCTCAAGATCTGATCTCCGATGGCGTCCACCACCACTTGTCCCACATCCCCAGATCCTACCTCACTCTCAACCCCTACTCGGTGGATGCGGAGTCCACGTGTGACCAGACGTACGGGTTCTTGCCTTGCACCACCACCGTGCTTGGGAATCTGTTCCTGATCCTGGTGTATGGATATTTGATGTACTTGGCCGCCACCTACCTCTCCAATGGCAGCGAGATGTTGCTCGAGATTCTCGGCCCCGGTATCATTGGAGGCTTGTTTCTCCCCATCCTCGGGGCTCTTCCTGACGCCATGCTCATTCTCGGTCAGTCTCTTTATAACTTTTCTGTTTGGTTGCCGATAACTTAACGGTGAGTGCCGTCCATATTATAATAGTGTCTTTGCATACTCTGTTTTTGTGACTCATAATTTTGTTTTAAAATAAAAATTATACCTTTGAAACGTTTCAAAAATCTCGTAGTTCCTGAACCTTCTACGAGTTTATGATTTTTCTTTTTGTATTTAAAGAAAATAAAACAAAATTCTTTACTTTTTCTGTGCACAACTTTTTCCTTTGGATCTCAGTGGACATAATAAATCTTATACTGTGATACACAGTGGATGGAGAGTTGTATAGCTTTATAAAACGACCCCACTTGTCCTTGTTACTCTCTTTTTACTCCTACACCTCGTCCTTATAACCAACTTTTGCTGGAATATGTAATCTAGAATCTTTGGACTGTGTTTGGGTTAATAATCTTAGTTCAGAAGGAAATTTATTATGGAAAAAACCAAAAAGAAATTATTTTAAAACAAGAACACCAAAGGGGGGACGATTCCTGTAGTGTTAATTATGCAGAATTAGCCGTTTTCATATGTAAAGTTGTAACTTTTATGTTATGTGATGGATCCATTTCTTCAGTACCTTAAACCTTGACATCAGTCTTACCAACCCGTGTTGGATTTTTGGGGATCTAAGCAATTTTCTCCAAAAAGGACAGGATGCTCTAATTTTTACCCTTTGTTTCTTTTTACCCCTAGTTTGATGGTTTACTTAAGAATTAACTTAATCCGTAATCGGAATCAAAATAAGGAGTTGAATTCCTATTGCGGATGGCTTCTGATATGCTTTATCATATTATTTTCAGTATCTGGACTTTCCGGGACTACAGAAACTGCTCAAAGTCAGGTCTCTGTTGGAATGGGGTTGCTAGCTGGGTCAACTGTAATGCTTCTTACGGTAATATGGGGTTCCTGTGTTCTTGTTGGCAAGTGCGATATCGAGAATTCTATTGCCATAGATAACAAAGATACAAAAGGGCTTAGCTTAACTGGTATGTCCATATTTTCTTTATTGTTTTATTTAGGACTTACTAGTCACCTGTGATAAATGGAGATCGTAATTTTACTACGCATATTGCACCTTACAAATATCTGTCTTTTATTTGTGGTCAGGGATTATTTAAAGATTTGCATTTCTACAAAAGAAATGTTGTTAAAGTTGATGCAGAAATACATAACATAATGATGATTGTTAAATTTAGATCCACAGGAACGGGGGATTGAAATGATAAAAAATGAATCAAGGGAAATATTGTAATCCAAAAGACATGTAGTGGGCTAAGTTGTATGCCTTGTTGCTGAATCTTTTAAATGATTGTGTTTCTCTCTTCATAAATCATACATCTGGAAATCTCTGATCTATAAGTAGAGATAAATTAAGCAAAATTGTTTATAATTGCAGGATCTGGTGTCAGTACTGATATCTGGACTAGCTATGCTGCAAGGATTATGGCTATATCTGTCATCCCATTTCTTATTGTTCAATTACCGCAGCTGCTCAATTCGACCTCGGGTAGACACTTGGCAGTTTTGATTTCACTCATTTTCTCTGTGGTACTATTGGTTTCATATTGCCTGTATCAGGTACTTATAGTTTTTCATACAGCAGGTCAGCCATTACGTACTGCGTACTTTGAAAATTTCATTTCAGTCTTTCTTGCTGAAATTAAATTATGTGTTTGTTGAATTACTTTCTCAATAGGTTCTGAACTGTATTTCTTTTTTGTTTGTTTATGATTTACATCTTGTGAATTTGACCCTTTTTCTTACATTTTTGTAATTTGAATTGCATGATGAAGTTGCTATTTATGCCTAGTGAAAGCAAACATTGTCGATGTGTAAGAAGAAAAGGAAAAATAATTGAAGATGACATAACAATAGATTACTTCTGTCAAAAGCTGGTGTTCGAACCACGCCCTGAGACTTCCTGCTATTAAGTTTTCATAGCTTAACTTGGCAACTTCCGAGGATTTCATAGAATTAGATTGGTTCACTTTTGAATTTTTAAATGATAGATTCCAATTTCTTATGGAAAAGTGGGAATATGTTTGGACAACCCCTTTTTGGGATCAAGGGTGAGCAGGCCCCTTTGAGTTTGTAGGTTCCTTTCTTAAAATGACTGAGTACTCTTAATTGCAGTCATAATTTGTAAATTCTTTCATGGCATGGTTTTGAAACCCATTCTGATTCAGTCAGATATTTAGTTATGTAGCTAACCATAATCTGTTTGAATTTTCTCTTTCCTGTTTAATATTTAGGTCATGCTTGTTTGGATCGTTATTGACTTGCCTTATATTTAATTGTTGGTGCAGGTGTTTCAGCCTTGGATCCAGAGGAGAAAAATTGCTTATGCGAAGCATAAGCATGTTATATCAGGACTCTTACATCATCTGACGAACCAAGGAAGGCTCCTTAAAGAAGATGGTGAACCTGATGAAGAAATTATAAAAAAGTTAGTGCTTATTAGTATTACCAACGAAGTATTTAGTCATGTGTGTACTTTGTGCCTCTATTTATTTATCAGAGATTGTTTCTGTTTTTCTTTTATTGTTAGAGATTGTTGTATTTACTCTGTTTTCTGTTTGTACATATTTCAGGCTGTTTAAGACAATCGATCAGGACAGTGATGGATATCTTTCGTTTTCCGAATTAAAAGCACTGATTGTAGGAATCCGGTTTGATGAAATAGAGTTGGATAAGAATGATGCTGTGGACAAAGTGATGAAAGATTTTGACACTTCTCATGATTCCAAGATCAGTGTTGATGAGTTCGTTGTTGGTGTCTCAAAATGGCTTAATCAGGCAAAGCGTGCAGGAAATGCCAATTCTGACCCTGGCCATCGCAAAATGAAATTTTTATCTGACTTTCACTCGGTAATGTTTGATTATTAAGTTCTGATAGATAAAAGGTTTTCTTATTAAGACTTGGATCTGTGCTAACATACTAGCTCCTTGGAAATTCATGTACAGCGGACAAAGGAAGAGCACGCTCTTTTGGGGGCTGGTGATCAAAGTGATGAGGTTGTCGAGGGTGCTGAAAAACCTAAGTGGACCTCCCTCAAAGCAGGATTAATGTTGTTGGTAGGAACTCTTATTGCAGCTGCATTTGCAGATCCCTTGGTGGATGCTGTTGATAATTTCTCAGATGCCACAAGCATTCCAACTTTCTTCATCTCATTCATTGCACTACCTCTGGCTACTAATTCTAGTGAGTCTGTATCAGCGATTATCTTTGCTAGCCGCAAAAAGATAAGGACTGCCTCCTTGACATTTTCTGAGGTTTGTATTTCTCATATTCCATCTCTCTTTATGTTTTATCACTCTGCAAGCCTGACAATACTTCACCTCTTAACAGTTGTGTTGATAATTTTTCAGTTGAACTCTTAGAAGATTCTTATATACATTTGTAAACTCTAGACTTTAAGCTTTAAACTTCTCCAATGACAAATTGCAATCACATATCAAAATCTAAAGTTTAGCATATTTTGCAACGTACAAATAGCCGATAAAATTCTTCTGTTGGTCATGATTTAACTATTTTGATGGATGGATAGTAGTATCTAGTAACCTTTTTTGGTTTCTTTTTCCACACGAAAGTAGGGATTTAAATTTTTCTAAAAAAAAAAAAAAAAAAATTTCCTCACAAATGTTGTAGGTGGTGTATAAACTGTAATATTTAGCAAAAACAGGGAATGCTGAAGTTTGACCTATTTATCTCTGTGTTCCTTGTTGCAGTTGTATGGTGCAGTTACCATGAATAACATCCTCTGCCTGTCGGTATTTTTGGCCCTGGTTTACATTAGAGGACTATCGTGGGACTTCTCAGCGGAAGTCCTGGTCATTCTCATCGTTTGTGTTGTGATGGGTATTTTAGGCAGTTTACGCACCAACTACCCTCTCTGGACTTGTTCAATTGCTTTCCTACTTTACCCCTTCTCCCTGGCACTGGTTTATGTTCTGGATTATGTTTTAGGCTGGTCATAGACTCACGACGAGGTGATCTGAGTACATTGGGGTGCTTATAAATCGATATATTTTTCGTTTTCCTTTCATTTTTCCTATGGTTTATATGATCCTTGATAATGTTATTGTGAGCAGGCAGGCATTTTGGTTTCATTTCCATTAGCAACACTTGAGATTTGTTGGGAGCACTTCTACTATTATCAGCCATTTTCCTCATTATAAAGCAAAAGCACAGATTCTGTGTCATACGTTTACATCTTCTGAAGTAAGCTTGTTATCCCGATTAACTACAATGTCTCCTTCTTAGGCCCTCTCTTATGTGTGGGATAAGGAGTCAGATTGTACAACCAATCCAGTCCTACGTTTCGCTAGCTAAAGGAGAGGCTGGACTGGACTAAACCATATTTTTTTGTTTGATACAATCGATATTGGGAGGAGGGATTCGAACACCGAATCTCAGGTGCAGGGTAAGTATTCTTAACTATTTGAGCTACAAGTCCTTTACGGACTCTACTAAACTTATCCAACCCTTTTGGTGGTCCATTGAAAGTCCGATTTCCTTTCGATTAGATTGAAGTTCAAGCGTGAAAAGGGATTCTCGCCAATGACATATAATGTAATTTTCTCAAATCATGTGGACCCAAAATTTACTTTGCTTGCTTTTTTGTCCGCTTGGTTGGCTGAGGGGTTTGGTAGACAGCGATGGAGAATCAAAAATATGTGGCCTACAACATCCACTTTATCACAACCAAAACTGGACCCAAAATTTAACGCACAAAATAATTCAAAGTAATGCTCACCTGAAAATTAAGCCATGCCTAACCGCGTTAACGCACTCCCCCGTCCCTTCTTCTTCTTCATCTTTCTAATATTCCTTTGCGGCCTAGCCCACGGCCGCTTCTTCCTCGGCAATCAAGCCTCACCGCACGATGTAGCAGTTATCTCCGATGGGGTCCACGTGGGGCCCCACAACTCGACAGCACCCCACCTAGCTCTCAAGCTCCTCAACGGGTCCTTGTCTGCGGAGGCCGACGGCGCGTGCGAGGAGACGTACGGGTTCTTACCGTGCACCCGCAGCGTGCTGGGGAACCTGTTCCTGATTTTGGTGTACGGATACTTGATGTACTTGGCGGCCACGTACCTCTCCAATGGCAGCGAGCTGTTGCTGGAGATTCTCGGCCCCGGCATTGTGGGAGGCTTGTTTCTCCCCATCCTCGGCTCGCTTCCCGATGCCATTCTCATTCTCGGTGAATCTCTCTCTCATTCTCCTCCCTGTTTGCTTTTCATGAAAAAAAACATATTAAGAAGACGACTTTTTTGAGAGTGCATTTGTTTTGACTTATGATATCACATCAAAATAAGAAGTTGTTATATGTGCTTGCTTAGACATGGGGTGGAATTGACCAAAAAAAAGACATGGGGTGGAAATGAGTCAAAGTCAAGTCCAATACTAAGGTTATCAAGCTTCCTTCGGATAAATATTACTTGATATTAAAGTTCGGCTTAATTTCCAAACAAAACTCATAGAATTGTGCTTAAGCTTGGCTCATATGATTTTTTTTTCATTTTTTAAACTCGTACTCGACGCACCTCGGCTTTTTACCGTAACCGAATCCAAACTTATTCAAACTCCCATGACATCTTAGTACTCTATGTGTGAATTTCTCATTCTCCTTGTAGTTTATGTATTAAAATATATATATATATATATATATTCACACTTCACGGTCCAATATTACTAAATATATGTATACAGGCGAGCGTTTTATAATGTTTGGAAGACTTTGGAAAAACACAAAGGAGAGAGAAAATTTGTAAAAGAAGCCAAAATAGACAAAATTGCCCTTATTTATTTTTGAATTTCCTAAGAAATCTTTTACATTTGCATGTTTTTGATTTGAAAGTTTAGAGGTTTTTCTGTCTTTTTTGAAAAAGCTTTGGCTTTTTCCAAAAGTGAAATTTTTTTTTCTTTCTAAAACCTAAATTTACTTTGTTTTATAATTATAATATTTATAAACTCCGATAAAATTATTTATTGCATGGCAAGCTTGTCTGTTGTATGAAAATGAAGAAGTAAATGTTGGACCTACTATTATTTAATGGAAATTCAGACGGTTGCTTTCTGACAAAACTATGGCCCATCGTTAGACCCTCCATTATCAATCTCTCTCTATCTTTCGTCTTCGTATGTATAATGGCAGCCCCGTAAACCAAACATCAATCCTTTCTCTCTCCTTTTTGTGTGTGTGTGTGTGGATAGTTTATCTTCTTATAAATTCTTTTTTAATTGGATATATTTATATTTAGTGAACAATGTAAGGGAAGTTATTTATATTTAGTGAACAATAAAAATAAAAAAATTGTGTGGGTGACAGCAATTCTTTTCTTCAAAACGCCACACCCACAGGGATTAGAAAATGACATTTTGTAATGGAAAGTTTAGTAGAACATGGTCTGGAGACAGGAATCATTGGACTTTGTTTGGGATAATAATATTTTTTATACAAGCGATATCTAGTTTAAACTAATCTAAATTATAAGTAGGGGAATTCGAACTTGAGTGCAGAGCAAAGAGCACATCCACTCTAGCCAACGTGGCTAAGCCTTGTTTGGTCTAATAATCTTAGTTCATATGAAAAATAAATACGAAAGAAACAAGAGCTAGTTAGAGCATCTCCAATGAAGGGTTGTATAATGAGGTGTATGTTAAATATACACCATTTGTGATCGGAATCACTGCAATGGGAATGTATAAACGATTGTAAATTTGCATCACAACCGTGAGATGCAAATTTAGATGCACATATGCATCTTTTTTTACATCCCTTGCAAGTAGGGCCTACATGAGAAAAAAAGGAGAAAAGGTGGACAAAAGTGAGCAAAATCAATTATACATCTTTAAATTTACATATTCTCCATTGAAGCAAAAACCACATTTACAACCCGTAAAGGAGATGTCAAAGTGACTTTACATCCTCGAAAATATACCCCTCACTGTGGATGCTCTTAGCCATAGCAATGTGTCGCTCCCTTGTAAGTTGTACTTCAATTCAAATTCTCTTTCGTTGTTTTTTTGTTTTTTTGTTTTTTTTTGGGTCAAGGTAGTTTGTAATTTAAAGCAGCATAGAATATCGCTGGTAAAAAAAAAAAAAAAAAAAAAAAAACAGTTTTCCTTTTCATTCCTTGGTTTGTTTTCCTATGTATGTACAGGTAATTAATAATTAGCTTCAAATTGCCTATTCTTTTCAGTATCTGGACTTTCTGGGAGTACAGAAACAGCTCAAAGCCAAGTCTCAGTTGGAATGGGGTTGCTAGCTGGTTCAACTGTATTGATTCTTACACTAATATGGGGTTCCTGTGTTGTTGTTGGCAAATGCGATATTCAGAACTCCGTTGCAATTGATAACGAAGATACCAAAGGGTTTAGCTTAACTGGTATGTCCATAAGGAACCGTTTTTTCGTTAAAGACAAATCGTAGTTTGACATATGTACATAAACTTTTCTTTTGTTCTTTTAACGAGTTACTTATGTATGTGTCGGACTGTGATTTGTAGATAATGAGCCGGTCTACGTGACACAATAATGTGTTGTCTCCCTTTGAAATGTTTGATTTGTAAGTAAAGCTATTTGTAATTGCAGGTTCTGGTGTGAGTACTGATATCTGGACTAGCTATGCTGCAAGGATTATGGTTATATCTGTCATCCCTTTCATTATTGTTCAACTACCGCAGCTTCTCAATTCGAACTTGGGAAAAGACATAGCAGTTTTGGTTTCCCTCATTGTCTCTGTCGCACTTTTTCTTTCTTACTGCCTTTATCAGGTAAGTTGTGATTTTCATGCGGCAATTACATACTCTGCATGACCTCACAAATACGTTTAAGTTCGGTTTTTGACTGCGAGTCGTATTTGTTTATTTACGTGTCTTATATTTAATTGCTGGTGCAGGTGTTTCAGCCTTGGATCCAGAGGAGACGAATTGCTTATGCAAAGCACAAGCATGTTATATCAGGAATCTTGCAACATCTGAAGACGCGCGCATTAGGAAGTCTCCTTAAAAGAGATGGTGAACCTAACGAAGAAATCATAAAAAAGTTCGTATTGTCTCTTAGTATCAGGAATGGAGTAGCAAAAAAGTGCTTTTAGAAGTGGTTTTAGAAGGTTTAAAACCATTTTCAGATTACTAAAAAAGCACTTCTAGCAGTAGTTAAAAGTGCTTTCAAAAGCACGAGCATTTTAGTCATGTCTGTTCTTTGTGCCTCTTCTCTTTTCTATTAGAGATGTTGTTATCCCTCTTGCTTTCTTACTATATGTTGTGTCAGGTTGTTTCATGCAATGGATCAGGACGGAGATGGATCTATTTCATATTCTGAATTAAGAGCAATGATTGTCGGTATCCGGTTTGATGAAATACAGTTGGATAGGGATGATGCTGTGGACAAAGTGATGAAAGAATTTGACACTTCTTGCGATTCTCGTATTGATCTTCAAGAGTTCCTCACTGGTATCTCGAAATGGATTCATGAGGCAAAGCGTTCGGGAGATGACTCTTCCAACAATGATCCTCACACGATGAAATTTCTATTCGACTTTCATTCGGTAAGGTTATGCTTACCAAAACTTCGAGAATTTATTATGCTACTCTACCAAGTGTCAAGAGTTCATATTCTCACACTGGGAATTCTAAGCCTTGATAAGATCTTGGATTCTTTCCAACACTAACTGCTTGGAAATTTATGGGCAGAGAACAAAGCAAGAGCACGATCTTCTCGGGGCAGGTGGTCAAAGCGATGAGATCATTGAAGCTGTTGAAAGTCCCAAGTGGACGACCTTCAAAGCAGTACTGATGTTGTTGGTAGGAACTCTCATTGCGGCTGCATTTGCTGATCCCTTGATAGATGTTGTTGATAACTTCTCAAATGCCACAAGCATTCCAACTTTCTTCATCTCATTTGTTGCATTACCTCTGGCTACTTCTTGTGAGGCTGTCTCTGCAATAATGTTCGCTAGCCGCAAAAAGATCAGAACTGCCTCGCTGACATTTTCTCAGGTTTGTACACTTAATGTTCGATAGTTTTCCAATTTAATAGTCCAGTCTTATCATTGTTAAGTTCACCAAACATCGAACGTAAAACTTAGTCCATTTTAACTCGATTAGCTTCTCCATTGACATAATACAATGCACTCACATATCAAAATCTTTTCTCAAGTAGCTTTTTTGCATCATGAATGTTTCTTCTCTTTTCTTTTTCTTTTTCAACTCTAACATCTGGCAACTGCATTGTGTACTGAAATAAGACCTCTTACCTCTTTGTGTCGTGTTGCAGTTGTATGGATCGGCAACCATGAACAACGTCCTCTGCCTATCGGTATTTTTGGCCCTGGTTTACTTCAGAGGATTAGAATGGGACTTCTCAGCAGAAGTCCTGGTTATTCTCATTGTCTGCATTGTGATGGGTGTGTTTAGCAGTTTCCGCACTGTCTTCCCTCTCTGGACATCTTCAATCGCTTTCCTACTTTACCCCTTCTCCGTGGCACTCATTTATGTCCTGGATTATGTTTATGGTTGGTCTTAGACTGATGATATCTTTAGGGTGCTTGCTTTCATGCAGTGCAGAATAATAGTAGAGATTTTGGACAAATTTTCATATTGAAACATTCTTCTGTTCTGCTTATGTTAAGCAATTCAGCACCTTTGCTTATTCTGTTATTATCTTTCTGTTCTGCCTTGGATAGCTGGTTTTCCTTGTATGGCCCACAACTCTTACATCAAACGTTTGCAACTATAATGAAGGTAAGATCTGTGGAGCCCACAATAAAGAAGATAGGACAAAGCACAACCAGATCCTCCCACAATCCACCACATGCAAAAGTTTGTTAGCAACTCTCAGTGCTGCCTGCCTCTGTCATCCATCATCCACCAACCAAAACAAACTACAACATAACTCAAAGAAAACCCCAAAATCCCTAGGCACACAAGAAGTTAACAACCACTGGTATTTGGCTTCATGAATATATATGTAACCACTCAAACAGACAGATCTGCATCTCCTCTGTCTTTTTTCTAATTCTCACCCTTCACAAGTCTGAAGCTTACATATGCAAATTTAGACATATCTACCCCACTGATATGTTGAAATTTAAGGGCAGCAAAAAAGAAAAAAAAAAAAATTTCCTAATATGGTTCACAGAGAGACAACTAGCCTGCCAAAGATCAGATTTATAACTTCAAATTGAGATCCACACTTTCTCCTAGTTCACCATTACAATTGTTGTTTATAGTGGTTACTGCTCTTCCAATTTGTGCCTTTGCTGGTGGGAAGAAGCTGTAGAAAGCTTGTTGTGGATGTGAACAGCTTGGTCCTGGCTGGAAATTTGTGTCCTCCGCATTGCCCTTTTAACAATTCAATAGAAAGAAACAAAATACAATTAGAAAATGAGATGAGATTACTAAACAAAACTAGTGAATTATAAGTGGGTTTCTGTTGATTTATCTCACTTGATAAGAAAATGATTCAAACTCAGGGACTTCGCGGTTATGGAACGCTAGATAAGTTGAAGGGAGGTTCAACTTTGGGCTGGGACATGTCCTACTACTGGTTGTAGGAGGGGCTAAGGTGAGAAAATCTCCATTGACACTCCCATTTTCTTTAATGCTGTTCCTTGAATTCGACTCCGAAATTGAAGTTGAGCATGAAGGGGCTTCTCTGATTATGATGCAAAGAAAACCATGAGCAAGCATACATATGTACTGGTGCAATTTTTGGAAGATAAAGATAAGCTAACCTGAAAATTGGGTTGCCTGAAGGCTCCAAATTGTAGGTGCATCTGTTCCCACATGAACTTGCTTCATCTGCTCTCATAGGAGCAACAAAGGTAGGGAATTTAAAGTTGATGGAGGGGCCTGGTGGATTGTCTAGAGAAAAGGGGTATGGCCTCTTCATGCCAACCATCTACTACATATCAAAGGTAGTCAGCATTAAGACCAATCTCTCAGGTTCCTCACACATTAACAGAACAAAGTGTGCTGAATCCAAGTTTAAGACAACAAAATAAAGCAAACTGAAATGAAATACAATTCTGCAGCTTCTAACATTCCTTTCAAGAGAAGAAGGTTTTCAAAATATAAATTAGGATTTCCAGAATCCAATCAGAACCCACTCATTCCAATTCCTTTAACTGACAATTTCTACTAATTTCCACTAGGAAAAAGAAGCATTTATAGATGCACTAGTAAGAAATTTCCTAAATTTAACTTAATTTGACAGGAAAGAGAAACGATCATATCTGACTAAATATAGAGGTGAACAAACCTTTTCTTCATCCGGCCACATAGGTGTACAGTTGCTGTAATAGCTTTGGTTTGAAGGGGGCTCTATCTGAAAGTTTAGTACAGATGATGATGAAGTTGTTGATGACACATTCACCTGCAGAGTTCCATACACCAAAATTCCTTCTCAACATAATCAAAAGCAGGAGATCATAAAAGTTTACTTCTTCCCAATAATTAAAAACAATGTTAAGAACTACAAAGAAAAAATGTCTTACCATTGAAGGAGGAGGAGGAGGCTGCTGATGATATGGTTGTGTTCTTTGTGGCACATTGGTGAGAGGCCAAATGGGGTTGTTGGACTCAAAAGGCAAATTCAAAGTAGACCGAAACGCCAATCCGGGATCAATCCCAGAATTAGAACTCTCCTTCTGATCAAGATTGAAGTCACAAGGGTTCCACAAGTTAGGAACATTATTATTGCCATGTCCCTGAATTTCAAACCCATGACCACCATTATTATTATTGTTATTTCCCCATGGAACAGTGCTAATTGGCTTCCTAATTACATCAATGTTCTGGGTTGGAATTAATGGTGGCCTGAAAATTGAGTTTGGTGAAGGTAGATCTAGTGATGGTAGAGAAGGAAATGGGATTGAAGAGGGTGGTTGATTATGATTAGAGTGATAAAAATGTCTAATTGGGACAGAAGGACATGATGAGGATGTGGATTTGGTCGGTGAGGATAAAGAAGATGGGGTAGACAAAATCACAGCAGCTGCTGCTTTCTTTTGCTGATCTTCAAGCCTGATTTTCTCAAGCTGTGCAACACCAAGTCCTCTCTGTGGCACTTTTTTTTGCTTGGTTTTTTTGGATGAAGATCTAGTAATGCTTGCAAAGCCAAGACTAGCACCACTACTAGTATTGCTACACTTTTGGGTTTGGTCTTCTTGAGCCATTCTTGCTATGTTCCATCTACTTTTACAAAATGAACAGATTGACAAGAAGGAATTTTGGATCAAACCCAGAAATCAGAATGGGGATTTATAAGAGAGAAACTTGCTCTTGATGCTAATTTCATTAGGACCATCTCGAGGCTTTGGTCTCTGTCACCCTTCCTCTTCTTCTCTTCCATCAATAAAAAATCGATTTTTTTTTTTTTTTGGGTGTTTAAGGAAACAAAGAAACAAAGATGGGAGAGAGAGACCCAAATCTTTGATTTTCAAGAACCATGATTTGAAAACAAACTCTATAGAGGAATTTAAGATTGCCCAAAATCTCGCTAAGGGAGGAACAAACCCAAGAGCCTAGCCAAGTTTTTAGCAAAAAATAAAAATTGAAAAATTGAAAAGGGAAAGGAGAGAGAGAGAGAGAGAGAGAGAGAGAGAGAGAGAGAAAACAGAGTGTAGAGCAAGAGAGATTATCTGAGGGGTTTCAGATTTTTCTCACATGCAGTTGTTTGTCTGAGAGACAGATCAGATGACAGAGCTTATATATGCAAATTTATGACCAAAAAATCTGTTCTTTTCTTTTGGGTTTTTTTTTTCTTTTTTGAAATTCAAACCATGCAAATCTAGAGCACTATGAATAATATTTTTCTCAAATTTATAGCCCACATTCTCGCTCCACTCCTCATTTCCTTGCTAGACCGACTCTTATGAGCTTTGTTTTCTCTCTCTCACTACTACTTTCTCTCCTTGTGAAGTGAACCAAAAGCTCAGATTTTTGCTCTCCAATAATGTTTTTTTCGAACACCAAATTGAGCTACCAGCCACATCCACAGTCTTGGCTTGCCAATGTCACCATAAGCTTTGTTTGTTTCATTTTGGGCATCTATGGCTGGCTTTTGCAGCTATGGTAGGACCCACCTCAACCCCCACGTGGGGCCCTTTAAAGTGCCCCTAACACCGACACTTGCATTGCATGGAATTCACCACCTCCCAAATCAAAATGCCAAACCTGGTAACATACATTGGAGTTTTCAAATTCTTAATTTTATTTGAATTTTAGCTTGCATGCATGTATTTAGTTGAATTTTAGTTTGGAACTTCTTCTTCTTTTGAAGATGTACATGTGCAAGTTTTTGTATATATTAATTGATTTATTTTCGTTATTCATGTAATGTAAACATATATCATCTTTAAAAGGAAAGAAAAGAAAAAGAAAAAGCATTGAAAGAGGCAGGGTGAGGGGAGAATGAGAATGACAAACTCTACCCACCACATCTCCCATTGTCTTACCTACCCCCACAAAATTGAAAATAAAAAAGCTATTACTTGCCCCCTTCATATTTTTTGATAAAAAGACGATCGAAACTTATTAGAACAACAAGAAAAAAAAGTAACAAAAGATAAACAATGAGGGTTGGTTTAGTTGATAAGATCATTGTATTGTGTGTAGCCTCGCCAGTGTTCGAGTCTCGTTGTCAGCAGTCATCATTGGTGCGCGATCTGTAATTTCCTACATAAATCCATATCAATGGCAACTAGCAATTGGATGCATGCGTAAGTCCTTCCGACTCGAGATTGTGAATATACCCTGACACCAAATGGATAAAAACTGAGCCCGCCTCTTTGGTTTAATTACAACTATGTTAGTTTCTATTGCCTAATAAGCCATTAAGAAATGATTATTGAAATTAAATAGGAAGTTACTGATAACTATTAAGTAAGTATTTTGAAAGGTAAAGCTTTATAAGGAATAAGTATTTTGAAAGGTAAAGCTTTATAAGGAAAGCTGTTCTGAGGTTCATAGCTACTTACCAACTAGCAAGAACCGAGTTGAATGTGACATGGTGCATGCATAGGTAGGTGAAGAAAGATATATAATAGAGTAAATCAAATTTTAATGGTTTTCCCCTTTGTATTGGATAGACAAGATCAAGCTTAAGAGGACATCAAATGTAGAATGCAATGAAAGGCCTGACAAGGCAACAAGATCGATGGACGAAGATGCTGCCCTTTAATTTCGCCATTCAAATCCATGCAGCTTTATAATCAATTTTGTATTTAAGATGTCTCAAATTTTGAATCCCTTAAAGAAGTTAATTTTTCAAAAACATTATCAGAAAAAGTGGAGGTTTTTGAAACATCTATAAAATAAAATAAAGAGGAGTGTAGAGAAAGAAGGAGAAAAGTAGAGATGGGAAGAAGAGAGAGAGAGAGAGAGAGAGAGAGAGAGAGAGAGAGAGAGATTCGAATACAGGAGAGTAGGATAAACACTCTTAATTACTTGAACTAGAAGTATCTTGCACTTTTTGTCTTGAGTTTTGTTGAATCATATCTTCAACATTAACGTTCTTCATTTGTAAGGGTAGGATAAATGCTCTTGACCACCCTTTAGTTGATTTTAGTTAACCAAGACAGATTGTTTGTTATATCATCAATTTTTCTATGAACCAAGACGAATCATTCGGTCTGATTCAAATTCTATAATAATTAGGGCAATAATTAAAGACTTCAAATATGAGAATTTCTGAAATTTATTGGTGATCAGGGTTTGGATTAAGGTTTTAAGATTTCTATCTATCATGGAAAATGAAAATCTACCAAATTTGGACATGCTGCTATACTAGATCCTCCTGACTTAAATCTTCATCTGGTTGATGAGCCGTTAGATGCAAAAATTCAAATGCCATCCAATATACAAATTTGACAGCAAATCAGCCAACTCAGAATTTCCAGGCATATTATTATTAAATAAGGTGAAATCATTATGTGGTGATAAATATATGAAACAGAAATAGGAAACACAATTGCTGAGAGGTCACTATAATTGAATCCTCAAATCTTGCCTTGTGACATACAAAATGAGCAAAGCTATATCTACCTTTTGCAAGGGACCCACTTTGGCCACAACAATCTATCCAAAACTTACTCATAACAAAACAAAAATGGTGCCTTCAAGAAAACCAGCCACCCACCATCCATATTCTATAGAGAAGGACAGTGGAGCCTCCATGACACCACTCCTTTTGTCAACATAACAAGCCAAAGATTTTGTTGGATACACAAAATATAAGGCTAAGGCATCTACCAATAAGATTCTCTATGTATATATTTACCTTGTCTCATTCTTGCTTTCTCTCTTTCTAGGATTTTAATTTAATTTAATTTTTTTTGTTATAAATGAAGCGATGGTATTAGAAAAATGAATGAAGAATTACATAAGGTCCTCTATTAAAGTATCTTGAACGATATGAGGAGGGACCTCATGCCATTCAAATACCTTATGAAGTAATAGAGCAAAGCAAGCTAATCTATGAACCACGAAATTGACTTCTCTAAAAACAAAACACATCGAAACACTAGGAAGTTGAGACTAGAGAAACCGAACTTTATCTCTAGGGTTTGTTGATTGAATTGAATATATAATCAAACATTTTGGTATTGAAGTTATAATAGTTAACAACCAAGAATTTATTGTTGTTGGTAGCATCATAAAAATTGATGGGTCTTGTGTCCATATTTGTTTTATTTAGTACATTAATGTGAAAAAAAATATGGGGTTGGTTTCTATGAGTGAGATCTTTCTAGTTCAAGGTATCACTATCATTTCATAATTGTGATTTTGTTCTCACTCGTTCCCTCTATTTTTTTCTTTTTTCAAAAGGAGCATTGGAGTTCCTTTTGTGCAGATAATTATGTAAAATTAGTTACATTAATGTAAAGGTATGCTATTCCATGATTGAAACAAAACCATGAAAAACATTATGGATGACGACTATGAAATGAGTGCTGATATTTTCACCCTTTGTCTTATTTCTTAATTCACTTTTTATCTTTCTTACTACTTAAATTTGAAAAAATACAAATATCTTTCTACCCACCATTATTCCTAAAATTCCCTTTAATTATTAATTCAAGCAAATTCTTTTTGTTAATCATTAGTAGTTGAGATATAGAGAGGATCAAGTTGTGTTAGACTGACTAGATATAAGTAGATATTTATTAATACTATTCCCTAAAAATAGGAAATAAACCATGTCGTCCACCCATATTATACATGTGTACAAGATGTACCACATAACTATACTACCGTAGTATATTATAATTTCTCCCAAGTGACATAACTTTTTAGCCAATATTTGATTGAATGTCATTTTCTGTCACATTTTTCATATTTTGTAGCTATACTTGGAACATAGGATTTTCAGTGAATTTTCTTGAGGATCATATGCCGCATGCACAATAAATAATATATATATATATATATATTACTAAAGCTGGGAAATAGAGTAATTCTCACGTGATTGGAATATAACCTTGTTGTGGCAAAATCTTGAGATAGATAGAAAATTTTAAATTTAGATCCTCCCTCCTCAATCAATGATCGTCGGATCTAGTACTGGCATAATTTTAGTCTCCATTTGTTGGAGTAGGTTTTTTAATTCAAATCTCAAGATCAACAAGATTTTGCTACTTATTTGGAGGTTTGTTTGTGGAAAAACCTTTTATGTTCTTCAATAATTGTGCAATTCAAAGATGTGATTTTGAATTGAATAAGAAAAACACTCATCTTTGATCCTCGATTATTCTGAGAAGAACTTTACATGTAACGGGAATGTCCCATGGCAGTATCCCAAACCTATCATGCATTACCATATTAGAAAGTTATAAATACATGACAATGGATGATTGGCTCATAATAACGTCACGAGGGTATGTCCGGTATACGTAAGTTTTTCTCGATCCTTCTCATTAAGCAGTGTGCTACTTAATTTGTGTTTAACTAATGCAACATTGGCAATCATTTCTAATAAATGATTTTCTCCCACCATTGTAGTTTCTAGAGTTTCCTCTCTGTTTTTCTTGTACCATTTCAGAACGCATTTTCAACCCTACTTCTCCATGTTAAATATGTTGCTAGAGTTCGTCCTCAACAGGGTAGTCTTCGCATGATATTTACGAATTAAAACAACAGTTGTGAGATTATACAGACTAAGAAACTAACCATCATATGTGCATAGATATTTGAAATTGGAGTATAAATACTTTCTTCTGGAGAGTTTAAATTACAAAAGAAAGAATCTTATAACAAACAGGTCCCGTAGCTCAGTTGGTTAGAGCGTTGGTCTTATGAGCCGAAGGTCGCGGGTTCGAGCCCCGCCGGGACCATAAGTTGGGTAAACGTGTTATTTTTATGGTTGAGTAAT